TCCACTGGTCCTGACAACTCAGATTTGCCCTCTGTATGCACAAAAGAAATAAAATTTAAAGGAGTCTTTAATAGTGAACAGATTTGAGTATTTAATTCTTTGTTGTATAAAGAAACACCTATTTGACCTTTTTTGTCTACTGAAAGGGTACCTACTCATGAACTGGTCTGGTAGTGATACTTAATAACGTAAGCAATTCAAGTCTCATTTACTGAGATGGGAACTGCTGCCTAAACTTGAAATGGTTTCCTTTGATTGGTCTTAAACCCAAGTTGATTCAAGTTTACTTTAAACAGTTTGGATGAAAGATTTGTTTTTATCATGTTAAAGATGCAGGAGTCCTTCTTAGCCCTTTTTACTGGGTATTTCTTTCAGGAAAACTGAGGAAGTCCAAAATTAGCATTCCTGTCATTCTTATATTAAATAGAAATCGTAGGTGCGGAACAAAGTTGTGGGGTTTGGGGTTTTTTAACTAAGATTTGGAAGATTCCTTCATTTGCAGGTCCTACATAAAGATGTTTGAAATTTACAGGCTGTGTTTAGATATTCAAGTTAAAAGAAAAATTAAAAATTATCAGAGACCTCATCTGGAGTCGGTTTAATTTTTTTATCTCACTCCTGATTTTTATATATATCTAAATAAAACTTAATCTTTTGTCTTGCTTTGAGAGGAGATGTTCTCTTCTGCTGTCTCAATAAATATTCTGTAATACTGTTTCACGCTGTCCTTTATGTGAATTACCTGTTTCGGTGTCTCTGGTACTTTTGGTTTAAAGATCCTTATTATTAGCATTAATTTTCAGCTGTGAATTGCTGGGAATGTCTGTTATATGGAGAACTCTCCTCCCACCTCCAAATGTATTTTCATTTGCCTTGTATGCACATATTTCCTTGGTGATGGTTTTATCCTCAGTATCCTAAGGCATTTCTAACAGCTTACCCTCTTTCTTCTACTAGTACGTCTTTGATGTTAAGAAGACTGAGGACAAAGTGTTGGTCTCATTACAACAGGAGGATCGCCGCAAATATAAGAAAGAAGGGAAAGGAGACAGCATCCCGATTGGCTTTGAAATATTCAAGGTAGGCAGCCATCTGCACTCCTGGTTCAGAGTTTGTTCAGCAGTCCTGCTTCATCCTGGCAATGAGCTCTTTGGCAGATAGAGGCATGATTATCGTGGTGGGGTCTGGCTCTCCTCTCAACGTGAGCTTTGCGTGTGTACTGCACTCAGTCACCAGAGCTGACATTAGACAGACTATTTGAACTAAATTGAATTTCGTTCAATTCAAATTCTATTTGAACTAAAGGAACATAAGTCATTTTTCCCTATTGCAAAAGAATTTTAAGTGCTTTTCCTACCCCAAGCTTTGAAGAGAAAGACAAAAAAATATTAACACTTGAAACATGGAGGGTTTTTTTCTCCTTCTCGCTGGAGGCTCCTGCCTCCATTTCATCAGCAAATACAGCCAAGTGAGTGAGTTTGAAAAGTCTGCAGTTTTTCTTTTGCCACTTAGAAAAAAGAGTCAAGGGTGTTTTCAAAAGCTGGAGTAGTGAGTAGGAAATGAGTGTATATGAAAAGGAACCCAAGGGATCCGAAACAGTAATTTAATTGCACTCCCGGGGCAAATTGAGTAAAATGAAAACATACGAACTGAAAGAAGGAGGAAAGCAAGAGAAACAGCTATGCATCTGCTTTTTCACCAAGGATCAGGATTATCTTATCATCTGTTGCTATAGCTAGTGGGACTACACTGAGTCTATGGCCCCACCCTAAAAAATAGTCAGTTTTTAACAATTAGAGCTGCTGACATCTGCATCACACCTATTCATTTGACAATCACCTGTTAACCACATATATTGAAAAGTGTCATTACAGAAAGTAGCAGAATTTACCTTGCCTTGTTCATGGCTGTATATCTAATTTGAAAAGGCTTGGAAAAGAAAATCACACCTTCAGAAAAGTATCAGTGCTCTATCTTTATTTCTGTTCAATATTTTTTCTATTTCAAAAGTGTTCTAACCCACCAGGCTCATTATCATGACTAAAGGCCTTTGGAAGACCATGGCCTAAATTATCTGAAGACAAAAGAGAACTACCAGAAAAGAATGTAGGGCTGTCTTTGGCCCCAGGAGCTGCTTAAGAAATAGGTTTATTTTTTAACTGTGCTGTCGCAAACATCAGTTCCCTGAAGAGGATGTTAATAGTTAAGCACAGCTTCAAGGCTTAGAACAAAACATAAATGGTTATTCTGTGGCTTTTGTATTCAGGAAAGGACAATGAAAATACAGATGTGTGCATCTGGATTGAGAGCCTGCTATGTAAGACGGGAATGCTCCCTCTATATGCTAGAGAAAGGAGGCAGATGGATCTCAGCCTCATCTAAGATGGCAGGGTAGCTCAGCGGGTGGAGTCCTTGCAGTGTGCATGCATCTCTGAAAGTATTCAAAACTCTGCAGTAGCATTATGTCTTTGTTAGTGGATGCATGTCTTTGCAAGTCCCAAACTTTCACCTCCACTTGGGGCTATACATGTATATACCGATGCAGTGAAGTGCAGAACAGCACTGCTCGGAAGTCTGTGTGGGCTAGCGCTTGGAGCACTGGGTTGCCCGTCAGGACTCCCTCTGCCACAGCTTCAGTGGGTGAAAAACCATTTGCCAAACCATTTGCCTTTATTGCACGTTGTCTTTTCTGCCCATGAAAGGCTGCGTGATGTGCAGGGAAAATCCTGCCTGTTAGCTCTGATATCCCTCCTTGCATTAATCCCTATACTGCTCTGTGGCTGTAGGTGGAGGATAACAGAAGCTATCGACTACACAAGCTGACTGTGCAGGAGAGAGTGGCCACATCTCTGTACATCAACACACGCACTGTGTTCTTGAAGAGGATCCTTAAGCAAGGCCGCTACATCCTTATCCCAACTACATACCATCCTGGCATCATTACAAAGTTTATCCTGAGACTCTTCACAGATGTGCCATCAAAACTCAGGTAGGTTGCACTCACAGCTACGTGAGATCTTCCCTTGTCCATATTGGCTGCGCTTCCTTGGAAATGGTTGCCTGGTTGCCCTCAAATATCCGTGACTCACTAGCTTATATTGCTCCAGAACTAGACCCTTGAGACGCTCAGGGTCACCCCCAGGAATCTCCAGGTGGCTCACTTGGATTTGTGCTTGGTCAGGACGTTTTTACTTAGGAACCTAGTGGACAATTCAGTTTAGGTATTTTGATGTTTTAGTTTGGCTTTTGTAGTTGCCTCCAGTTCTAGGTCAGAACGCTGAGCACTGGTGCTTGCAGTTACAGTTGATACTGTTTATTTCTTTGACCATCTCCTTTGTCTGCGAGGGCAAAACTAGTGTTTCGTGAAATCAGGCCTGCTGAATTTTTTTCTTGCTTTGATACTATTTTCCATTATTTAAAGGTGGTTTTTTCCCCCACTTTTGCTGCCATGCGAAGGATGACACACATTTGGTTTACTTTGCTTTGCTTTGTTTTTATTTCTTAAGTCCATCATTTCTGTACCACAAACTTCCAAAACGGTAGATGAGGAAAGAGTCCAAATCTCGTGTTCTGAAAATGCCAGATTTCCACAACCATTGATTGTTTGCTTGACATTTGTTGCTTCAACTGCTTTTTCCATCTTTTTTCAGGGAACTGAAGGCAGATAAGCCTAAAATGACATGTTGGAGTCTTCTTTGCGGCTATCCACGCAGAGTCACCCAAATCAAAATTCACTCTGCAGAGGGTTTACAGAAGCAAGACAGATCAGGCGGTAAGTGTAAAGCAAGCCTGGAAGAGTGGAAGGGGCTTCTTCAGTCCTCTAAAGATGATCTGAGTTGACATGTAAGCAGTCAGAAATTATCCAAACAAACTGAAGATTTATGGGATTTTTTTTTTCAGCACGTTGTAAAATCTGATCAAAAGGAGAGACCAGATGAATAAGATGATGTAAAACAGCAAGAGTTATATGTCATCTATGCTGGTCCAGATGGGGAGTGGTAGCCAGACCCTCCTGAGAAGCTTTTTGTGGGGATTAGTAAGAAATTCACCTTTCAGGGTTATGTGTTTTCTAAATGGAAAATATCCAGGGAGACAGCTGAATCACATAGACTCATGTAGTATATTACACTTACCTCAGCAATGTCATTCACGGCCTTCAGAGCACTTTGTTCTTCATTACCACAAGCTTAATAGCACTTCAGGGAGGAAATTATGATTTTCAAACAGACATTTTCAGCTGGGTAAACTGGGACAGGGGAGGTTAAATTACTTGTACAGGACTGTGTATCTGATGACTAACTTGATGTCCTGTGACAAGGTGACCAGTTTAGTTGATGAGGGAAAGGCTGTGGATGTTGTCTACCTAGACTTTAGTAAAACCTTTGACGGTATTTCCCACAGCATTCTCCTAGAGAAGCTGGCTGCTCGTGGCTTGGATGGGTGTACTCTTTGGGTAAAAAACTGGCTGGATGGCTGGGCGCAAAGAGTTGTGGTGAATGGAGTTAAATCCACCTGGCAGCCGGTCACGAGTGGTGTTCCCCAGGGCTCAGTTTTTGGGCCAGTCTTGTTCAATATCTTTATCAATGATCTGGATGAGGGGATCGAGTGCACCCTCAGTAAGTTTGCAGATGACACCAAGTTGGGTGGAAGTGTTGATCTGCTTGAGGG